ATCTGCCATCTAATCTATCAGCCAAGGAATCTGTCACCTCAGGATCACCGCGTCTGGCCCTGTCCCCGTGGTGTAGCCGCAGCCTCTGTCCCCACCGGCCCAACACTGTGACCTGCTGTCCCCCCGACCGTGTCCCCCGGCTGTGCGGCCCCGAGCGCAGCTCTGTGTCTTGCTCACAGGGTGCGGCCTCTTGCTGGCTGACGCCTTTGCGGAGGAGGAGCAGGCGGAGGAGGAGATGGAGGTGGACGAGGAGGAGGCGGACAGAGCCCGGGGCGGCCTGGCGCGGGTGCTGGACCAGCTGGTGCTGCCGGAGGCCGGGGCTTGCAGCGTGGACACTTGCCGCCGCTGGCTGGAGCAGCTGGGCTTCCGAGACCTGCATGTGGCCCCCGTGGGGGACACGCGGACTCTGAACCTCACTGTGCTGCTGGCTACCTGGGCCGGGCCGTGAGCCTGGCCACGCGGCGTGTGGGGTCACGGTGCCAGCCGGGACCCCCGCTCAGCAGAGGTGAGGCGGGCGTTTGACAGCTCTGCACCCCCTGTGGGCAATAAAGAACGGGCCTCGCCCGTCAGGTCTGAGAATAAAGCAGGGGGCGCCACACTCGGCGGAGTACAGGTTACACCGCACTCTGGGAGGCTGAGGCAGGAGGGTCTCAAGGTCCAGTCCAGCCAGGGAAACTTACCAGACTTAGCAAGACTCAAAATCAATAATAAAGTGAAACCAGGTGTGGTTTTGCTCACCAATAATTCCAGCACTCGGGAGGCTGAGGCAGGAGGATTGTTGCAAGTTCCAGGCCAGCCTGGGCTCCAAAGCGAGCTCAACACCAGCCTGAACTGCATAGGGGACCCTGTCTCTGAAAGACAAAAAACAAAACAAGACAAAAAAATAAAGTGGAAAGGGCCCAGGGGCATAGCTGACTGTGAAGAGCCCAGGTTCCATCCCCAGGACCACAGAAACAAAACAAACAAACAGCACCCCCAAGCCGGGCGTGGTGGCGCACGCCTGTAATCCCAGCACTCTGGAGGCTGAGGCAGGAGGATCTTTGTAAGTTCAAGTCCAGTCTGAACTTCGTAGCAAGACTGTCTCAAAAAAGAGAAAAAAAAAAAAACCCAAAACACCAAAGAGGTGTCTTTGAACAGCTGGCTGAAGCTGTCACCCCTCAGCCTCGTGCTGACCTGGACCTGTGCCCTTGGTCGGAGAAGACGGGCCGCGCTCGGGTGCGGGCTGAACTTGGCACTTAACACAGGCCCCCAGGCGAACAGCCCTTT